GGTGTGAGATTCTAAGCCTCACCTCTGTTGATCCCCAATTTCTCACCTGATGTCCCCCCTGCGACCGTGCCTGTCTTAGGTTGTTCCTCCCTTGAGGAATCTTACCCGTCTCTGGCTAACCAGTCATCTTCCGGGGCCATACAGGGAAATGTAAAGTTGGTAAGTGAGAGAGAAGCAATATTCTTTGAAAAGGTTAGCTTTTTACTTCTTTGCAGATTTATGCCCTGTGGCTTCTATGCCCAGCATTTGTCTTGAGGTATCTTTACCACTTGGAAAATTATGATACTCGGTAATTTTCGATATGAGACACTCAAAGTTATATTTTTATAAAATGCAGTAAAAACTAATTACTAGAAAAATTAAATGTAAAAACAGATATATAAAATGCAAGCCCAGATACTTTTTTTAATCATCCTGACAATTTTTAAGTGTACAATTCAATGGCATTAAGAACATTCACATTGTTGTGCTACCATCACCAACATCCAGTTCTGGAACTCTTGCAAAACTGAAACTCTGTACCCGTTAAACAATAACTCTTTATTCCCTCCTCCTCACAGACCCTGACAACCACCATTCTATTTTCTGTCTCTATGAATTTGATTACTCTAAGTCAGATTTTTTTTTTAAGTCAGATTTTTTATTATTAGATCCAACATACAAGAAAATTTTCTCTCAAATTACTATACAATTTTCTAAATATTTACTCTGAATTTCTGCCACAAACTGGTAACAAATTGCTCATAGGCCACCACTAATCCACAAATGACACTTTTAGTAGCATTGTGCTAGGTCCCATATTATTTCATTTTCTCAAAGATATCTATCCAGCAATCTTCCTTTCTTCTACATCATCATTTTTCTGTTTTTCTTTCTTACCGACATACCAACATGAATTTATTCCTTCTATCTCAAAAAAAACCACACCACCTCTCTTGACCCAGCTTGACCCTCCAGCTGGAGCCCCATTTCTCTGCTGTTGTATACAGTCAATTGTCTCACAAAGGTGACCTGTACTGTACTCCATGTCTTGACTTGCTTTTTCCCATTTTCTGTGGGACCCTGTCCAGTTAAGCTTTCATCTCCACCAATCCACTGAAATGCTCTTGTCAAGGTCACTACTTAATAAACATACGTTTATTAAGAATAGTCAATTCTCAGGATTACCCTCCAAAAGCATTAGACACAGCTGGTCATTTCCTCCTCCTTGGCTACCACTCCACTCCACTCCCCTGGTTTTCTGTCTCACTGGCTTATTCTGGTTTCTCCACATTTCTCTAGCACTGTTGCCATGAATAAACCAATAAATAGCAAAGAGAAAAAGGCCATCAATATTAGCTTATATCAATAGCCATGAATAAACCAATAAATAGCAAAGAGAAAAAGGCCATCAATATTAGCTTATATCAATCATGATTTATTTAGTCTCTGTGTCTGATCTGGGATACACCTTCCTTAAGGACTTGGTGGTAGTGGAGAAAAATCAACATCAAAAAAAAAATCAGGGTTCTGTCATCAAGAAAGAATGTAGCCACAGTTGATCTGTAATCAATCAGACAGAATGGGAAGTCCAAAAAATACATCCAATTGTACATGGGAATTTAGTTTGACAAACATAAAATTTCAAGTCAGAAAAAAAAAAGTGGAATTATATTTGCTGTTTGAAAAATTGGATAGCCATCTAGAAAAATTTATCTTGGATCTATACTTCACACTATTTACCAAGATAAATTTCAAATACATCGAAGATTTAAATGTAAAAAAAAAATGAAACCACAAAATATTTGAATGAACCATATGAGAAGTTTTTATGATCTCAAAGTAAAGCAGTTTCTTAAAGTCTGAAGCAAAACCTAGGTGTTTAAAAGACTGATAAATTCAACTATGTAGTAATAAAAAAATGTCTTTAAGTCAAAAGCCACCTTAGAAAGAGTAAAATGACAAATGACTATATACATATGTTTGAATTTCATGTCATAGGAAAATGGATAATTTTCGTATTTATATACAGAGCTGAAATCAGTAAGAACAAAAACCCATGGGGTAAAATATGCAAAAGATCCATACTGATAGTTCACAGAAAAAGAAATAGAAATGGCTCTTAAATACTTACTGTTACTCATAATAAACTAGAATGTCTTTGAAATACTATTTTGTTACCTATCGGTTTGGCAAAGCTCTATTAAGACTGGTAAGACACTGTGTGGTGCTGTTGGGGTCAGTTTAACATGTACTCTCATATTTTGGTGCTAGGAATGTAAACTGGAACAACTTCTGTGGAGGACAATTCGGTGGTGGTATTTATCAAATTTTTAAATGCACGTTCCCTTTGACTCAGAAATTCTATTTCTAAAAATTTAATCTACATGTATGATCAAGCATATGTACAAGCTTGCTTGTAATAGTAAAACAACAAGTTGGAAACAACTTAAATGTTTATTAATACACATTAATGAGGTTTATTAATACACATTAATGAGGTTTATTAATAAGCTGATTAAATAGAAGGATATTCCTACAATGTGCATTCTGCAGCCATAAAAAGAATGAGAAGGTCCTTTGCTTACTGATATAGAATGATCTTCAAGATCTATTGTTAAGTGAAAAAGCAAGGTCCAATGTATATTGCGTACTATCATTTCTGTAAGAAGTGATGTTAGTAATATTCATAATTGCTTAAATATGCAGAAAATATCTGTGGAGGAATTTAAAGAAACTGATACAATTGATTGTTGGTAGAGAGGACAACTGGATGGCAGGAGACAAGTAGGAGGGAGAATTTTCATAATATAGCCTTTTGTATCTTTTGATTTTTTAATCATAAGAATGTATTACCTACTCTAAAAGTAAATAAAAAATTAAAAGATAATCACTTGGAGGCCTTTCCTTATTTTATAAGTAAAATAATTTTTCACAATGAGAAATGACTTCATTGATGTTCCTAATTTTAAGAGATTCCATATACACTTTATTTTTGTTGAATTAATAATTAGAACTAGATTAGTACTGGTTACTCATTAAGTTTGGTGAATATAATCAACCTCCTTTGGCAAACAGAGTTTATAACTCTAAATGAACAAATATCCTTTTCTACAGCAAACGTTGTAGAATAACAAATGAGTTTCTTGTAACAACTCATAATCTCAAGATTACAAATCGAGATTCTTTGGAACTATAAAAATAAACCTTTTGGTATTATTGGGACACTCCACTCCTGATAAATATAGAAGCTCAACTTTATGAGGAAACATTCAGAATAAGTACAGCTTTAACTTAAATTAAATGATATATAATTATACACTATTCATTCCTCTTATCTATGTAAACAGAAGTTATGGTTAATTCAGTGCTTTGCCAGTTTAAAAACACTTGTACCCTTTCAAAATTCCTGCTTTTGAAGCTTGTGGCCTTGGTCTTAATCTAACTATAATCAAGGCTAAATCTAAGG